TCCCATGTGCTTAAATGTTTCGTCAGCTCTAACACAGCGTTGAAGCACTATTTCCATTCACTCACTGTTTTTGTCTTTTCTGTTGCTGTTCAGCTCAGATTTCTCAACTCTGGGTAACATCTGTTTCTAATTTGTTAACAAATGATTCTGAGAGGAGAAAGTACATGCTGTAAGGCAATGCTCTCTGCATTCTGTAAACACAGTAGCAAAAACACAATCTGTTGAGCTCGTGGATTTTTTCTCACCTAAAATTGTTGGTTACACTTTTCATTTCTTAATTTCCAGATTGCCATAACTCAAGATTTAAACTGTAAGGAGCTGAAATACAGATAATCTCACACCATCTATGAACCTCTTGAGAGTTTGTTGCAATGTGAGATGATTGTTGCTGGCACAGGGTTGTTCCAAACTTCAATTGAAACCACATGTTCTTAAGCTGTTTTCTGACAAACTCAGTCCTGGCTTCTCTTCAGACTGTAGAAAATTACATTTTTCACAGTTTTAGTGATTAAAACTATGACTAAGTTTTTCTGTAATTCTGTACTGTACTTTATAATATTGACAGATGCTGCTGATAAATACAAGGTCAGTTGTTTAGAAATAAACCGATAATCTGAACAATTCATGAGAAAATGATCCCCAACCCTTACATCCTTTCAGTTTCAGATATGTCCTGATTGTTATGCTGGTTCTTTGTCATATGCAGGTTAACACAAGGTCAACAATGCAATGAAATGTTCAAGATGAGAAGAACCGATTCGACTCGCTAAAACCAAACAAGAAAAACCAACCAACCAAACAAACAAGAAAGATTAAAGCATGCAATAAGGGTACAAAATAAAGTACCAAAAAGCAAAAGGTATATAACATTTACAAGATCCAAAAGAAAAATAGTATACAACATGATAGAATAAAACAGTGCAAGTAGGATGAATTAGTATGAGTCAGAGTCAGAGATTTATTTGTCATACACACCACACGTGATACATGAGGTGGGACAAAACCATGTACATAGGGTCCCAGTTACATCCTACAAAAACACAAATCGTAAAGAAAAACACTGAACTAAGAATATAATACATTCACTAAACTAAGAATACACTAAGTACTAATGGTACAAAAACAATGCACCAAAACAGCAGCAGCACGAACATGAGTCTGTATGAGCGATGAGGACTAGTGAACATGGCAATATGAAATAATCAGCAGCATGAGATCAGCATCATGGATAGTCAACAGCACATATCAACAACCAAGTGGCATTACAGTGATATACACTGTGTTTTTCACAGTAATTTTCAAAGTGATTGTTCCTGGTTAGAGATTCATGAGTCTAACAGCCTCAGGGTAGAAGCTGTTCCTCAGCCTGGTGGTTCTGCACTTAATGCTCTTCAGCCTTCTGCCTGAGGGGAGCGGGGCAAAAAGTGTGTGTGTCGAGTGTGTGGGGTCATTCATGATGCAGGGTGACCCTTTTCCTGCATCTGGAGGTGTAAATGTCTGTGATGGTGGGGAGACTGACTCCAACAGTCTTCTGTGCAGCCTTCATCGCTCTCTGCAAAGCTTTTCTTTCTGCAGCTGTGCAGCCTTGGTGCCACACGTTGATGATGGAGCACAGGATGCTCTCCACTGCACACCTGTAGAAGGAGGTGAGGACTGAGTTTCCCAGACCAGCTCGTCTCAGCCACCTGAGGGAGTAGAGTCTCTGATGTGCTTTCTTGATCAGGCTGGAAGTGTTGTTGCCCCAGCTGAGGTTGTCATTCATGTGTACACCCAAGTACTTGTAGCTGGAGACCACTTCCACCGCCGATCCCCTTATGTTCAGGGGGGTGTATGTGTGTTTGTTCCTTCTGAAGTCCACAATCATCTCCTTTGTCTTCTTCACATTGATGTGAAGGTTATTCGCTTTGCATCAGCTCTCCAGGTGTTCCACCTCTTGCCTGTAGCTGGACTCATCATTGTTTGTGATGCATCCCACAACCACTGTATCATCTGCAAACTTTACAATGTGACAGCCTGGATGGGTAGTTGCACAATCATACGTGAGCAGCGTAAACAGGAGAGGACTCAACACACATCCCTGAGGAAAGCCAGTGCTGAGGGTTATGGTGGAGGATGAGAAGTTGTCGATCCTCACTGACTGTGGTTTGTTTAAGAAGTCTAGTACCTAGTTGCAAATGGAGGGGCTTAGTCCTAATGTGAATAGTTTATCCATCAGGGTTTGGGGAATTATGGTGTTGAAGGCAGATGTGAGGTCCACAAAAAGCATACTGTCGTAAGAGTCTTTCTGCTCCAGGTGAGTGAGCGCAGTGTGGACCACAGAGGAGATGGCATCCTCTGTTGATCAGTTCTTGTGGTATGCATACTCATGAGGGTCCCCGTTGATGTTGATGGTTGTTTTGATGTGGGTCATGACCAGTTTTTCGAAGCATTTAGCAACTATTGGGGTGAGGGCCACTGGCCGATAGTCATTCAGACCAGTCACTGAAGAGCTTTTTGGGACTGGGATGGTGGTGGCAGTCTTCAGGCAGATGGGAACTGTCTCCAGGGTAAGTGAGGTGTTAAAGATGATTGCCAGCACCTCGCAGAGCTAATCGGCACATTCTTTCAACACTTTTCTGGGGATGTTGTCTGGGCCGGTTGCCTTGTGCGGATTAATCCTCCTGAAGGTACTCCTTACTTCTGCTGGGGTCACGCTGAGATGCTCTTCAACCGCTGGTGAGATAGAGTCTGGTGCTGGGTGGTCTGTTCGGGTCTTCAGAGCGTGCATAGAACGTGTTGAGGGTATCAGGCAGAGATGGGTCTTTGGGGCATTGTTCGCTCCTTCCATTATAATCTGTTATACATTTAATGCCCCTCCACATGCTCCATGGGTCTTGTGGGGTGAATTGACCCTTGATCCTCTGTGCATATTTTGCCTTGGCCCTTTTAATACCAGCAACCAGCTCTTTCCTTTTCCTACTCAGCTTCTGTGAGTTTCCAGACCTGAAGGCAGTGTTCCTGGATTCCAGCAGGGTGTGCACCTCTGCATTCAGCCAAGGTTTTCTGTTTGGGTAGCTTTTATCATATCTGATGGTGGAGATGGTGTCAGTACATGTACTAATGTAACCCAGAACTGAGGATGCGTATTGGTCCAGATAAAGTGATCTCCATTTTCAGCAGCTTCTCTGAAAACCTGCCAGTCTGTTCGTTCAAAACAATCTCTCAGTATGGGGCCACTATCCTGGATCCAACATTTAACTTTCTTTTTTACCGGTCTGGAGCGTCTCATCGGGGGGAGGAAAGCAGGAGCCATTAAGATTGAGATGTGAACAGAGAATCCTAGGTGGGGGTGGGGTTGAGCTTTGTATGCATCTTTTACGTTCGTATAAACACTGTCCAGTGTGTTGTTTCCACATGTTGGTATGTCCACATGCTGGTAAAAACTTGGGAGGCAGTCCTTTAGATTCACATGAATCTCCCGCTACCATGTACCATGTACCATGTCTCAGGGTGTTTGTTCTGCAGCAAACTTAAGATATCGTGGAGCTCCTACAAGGCGTCATTAGCAGTAGCGTTCAGTGGAATGTAAACAAATGGTAAATGGTAATTGGACTGTACTTATATAGTGCCTTTCTATCTTATTTCAAGATACTCAAAGCACTTTACACTACAATCTGTGTCCTCATTTACCCATTCATACAGCACTCTACTAGATCTCTACGAAGCTAATTGAACAAATCATTCTATAGAGACTAATCAGTGCTTTAGATCACATTCATACTCTGATGGGACACACATCAGAGGCAATGAAGGGCTCAGTGTCTTGCCCAGGGACACTTGGACATGTGACTGCTGGTGGATTAGAACCCCCAACTCTCGCATTGGAGGACGACTGCTCTAACCACTCAGCCACAGCTGCCCGAATAAACAACCGTAATGAAAGTCACTGTGAACTCGCGGGGTAGATAATGTGGCTGACATTTCACTGTTATTTGCTCCAAAGCCTTCGAGCATGAGCTTTTTACAACAGTACAGTTTGTGTACCAACTTTTACTCACATAAATGCACACTCTGCTCCCTGTGATTTCCCCGTTAGCTTGCTGCAGTGGTCCGCTAAAAAAAAAGTCTGTCATCTAGCTGGAAGACTATCCGGCGTTTCACTTGTAATCCATGTTTCCATGTGTCAAAGCACCGCACACTTCATCATCCCTTCTGAGGCGCCCACTCTCAGACGAAACAAATCCATCTTGTTGTCCAACGAGCGGACGTTCGACAGAAAGAGAGATGGCATCAGGAGTTTTCTGGCTTTAGCGTTGGCTCGTAGCCTCAACATAACCCCCGCCCGGCGTCCTCTCTTCTTAAGCCGGGAGCGATGCTTCCTCTTCTGTCCCATTGGAACGCCTCTGCTGCAGCTTCCAGGTAGATGACTTTAAGATCTGCATTCTGCCGAGCGTAGGTTTGAGTTTGTTGCTGATTTCTGCTATATTTTGTAGCAAACCCGCTCCTATTCTCATCAGTTCTGTTCGGCTATAGTTCACACACATAAATCGTGTGGAGTCAGGCACAGAGTCGATATAAAAACTTCTAAAATCCCTCCTTGGTCTACTACCTTTTTATATCTCCTCCCACTTGTCACGTCGTCAGTGTAGTTAAACATGCACTCTCAAACCATCATTACCTGGAACGTTCCTTCAGTGTGGACTGAACTTGGCAAAAAGGCCTTTTCCTTCTCTGCTCCTGCAACCTGGAACACCTTGCAACAGGAACTGAAGCCGTCCACCTTAATTTCTTTAGGGCACATGCATCAAACTCAAGGCCCGGGGGCCAAATGTGGCCCTCTCTGACATCTTATCTGGCCCCAAAGATCAGAGTCAGCTTTATTATCATTGTACCGAGATACAACGAGAACATGTACATGTAGTCATCCGGAAGATGGACGAATTGCACGAAGCTGCTACTGCTCTGAGCACGGCCTCTCTTATCCTTATCAGAATAATAAACTAAGATTGGAAAAAGGGGAGAAACATGAGGGTAGGCCCATCCCTGGGCTGCCACCTTACCATATTGGAGGGGTTTGAGTGTCCCAATGATCCTAGGAGCTATGCTGTCAGGGGCTTTACGCTCCTAGTAGGGTCACCCAAGGCAGACAGGTCTTAGGTGAGGGACCAGACAAAGTGCAGCCCAAACACACCCTATGATGAGAAAAAGAAATGGACTTGATGTTCCCTCGCCTGGATGTGGGTCACCGGGGCCCCATTCTGGAGCCAGGCCTGGAGGTGGGGCACATGGGCGAGTGCCTGGTGGCCAGGCTTTTACCCATGGAGCTCGGCCGGGCACAGCCCGAAGAGGAGATGTGGGTCCCCCTTCCCATGGGCTTACCACATGTGGGAGGGGCCAAAGGGGTCGGATGCAATGTGGGATGGGTGGTGGACGAGGGCGGGGACCCTGGCGGTCTGATCCTCAGCTACAGAAGCTGGCTATTGGGATGTGGAATGTTACCACACTGGTGGGAAAGGAGCCTGAGATGGTGTGTGAGGTTGAGAGGTTCCGGCTAGAAATATTTGGCTATGGCTCTAGAAACAGTTTCCTTGAGAGGAGTTGGACACTTTTTCACTCTGGAGTGGCCCCTGGTGAGAGGCGCCAAGCAGAAGTGGGCATACATATTGCCCCCCCCCCCCACTAAAGTGCCTGGTGGGGGGGGGGGGTCACCCTGGTGAATGAGAGGGTAGCCTCCCTCCACCTACGTGTGGGGGGACAGGTTCTGACTGTCATTTGTGCTTATGCCCCAAACGGCAGTTCTGATTATCCACCCTTTTTGGAGTCCTTAGAGGGGGTACTGGAAAGTGCACCTCCTGGGACTCCCTTGTTCTGCTGGGGGACTTCAATGCTCACGTGGGCAATGACAGTGAGACCTGGAGGGGTGTGGTTGGGAGGAACGCCCCCCCGATCTGAATCCGAGTGGTATTCTGTTGTTGGACTTCTGTGTTCATCATGGATTGTCCATAACAAACACCATGTTCAAGCATAAGGGTGTCCACCTGTGCTTTTGGCACTAGGACACCCTAGGCCGTAGTTCGATGATCGACTTTGTTGTCGTCTCATCTGATCTGTGGCCACATGTCTTGGACACTCGGGTGAAGAGAGGGACGGAGCTGTCCACCGATCACTAACTGGTTGGCTCCGATGGTGGGGGAGGTTGCCGGTCAGACCTGGCAGACCCAAATGTATTGTGAAGGTTTTCTGGGAATGTTTGGCAGAGTCTCCTGTGAGACGGAACTTTAACTCCCACCTCTGAGAGAACTTCGAACATGTTCCGGGGGAGGTGGGGGACATTGAGTCCGAGTGGGCCATGTTCCGTGCCTCTATTGTCGAGGCAGCTTACCGGAGCTGCGGCTACAAGGTTGTCGGTGCCTGTCATGGTGGCAACCCTCGAACCCGGTGGTGGACACCGTCTGTGAGAAATGCTGTCAGGCTGAAGAGGGAGTCCTATTGGGCCTTTTTGGCCTGTGGGACCCCGGAAGCAGCTGATGGGTACCGGCAGTCCAAGCAACATGTGGCTCGGGTGGTCGCTGAGGCAAAAACTCGAGCATTGGAGGAGTTCGGAGAGGCCATGGAGAATGACTTCCACACGGCTTTGAGGCGATTCTGGTCCATTATCCGGCGTCTCGGGGGGGTGGGGGGAGCGGTACACCACCAACACTGTTTATAGTGGGGGGGGGGGGGGTGTTGCTGACCTCAACTCGGGATGTCATGGGTTGGTGGGCAGAATACTTTGAAGACCTTCTCAATCCCACCAGCACGTCTTCCACTGAAGAAGTGGAGCCTGGAGACTCTGGGTCAGGCCCTCCAATCTCTGGTATTGAGGTCACCGAGGTGGTTAAAAAGCTCCTCCGTGGCAGGGCCCAAGGGGTGGATGAGATTCGCCCCAAGTTCCTTAAGGCTCTGGATGTTGTAGGGTTGTGTTGGTTTACGCAACTCTACAATACTGCGTGGACATCAGGGGAAGTTCCCCTGGATTGGCAGACTGGGGTGGTGGTCCCCCTATTCAAAAAGGGGGACCGTAGAGTGTGTTCCAACTACAGGGGGATCACGCTTTTAAGCCTCCCTGGTAAGGTCTATTCGGGGGTTCTGGAGAGTAGGGTCCATCGGATAGTCGAACCTCGGATTTAAGAGGAGCAGTATGGTTTTCGTCCTTGTCGTGGAAAACTGGACCAGCTCTACACTCTCAGCAAGGTCCTGGATGGTGCGTGAGAGTTTGCCCAACCGGTCTACATGTGCTTTGTGGACTTGGAGAAGGCGTTCAACCGCGTCCCTCAGGGAATCCTGTGGAGGGTATTCTGGGAGTATGTGGTACTGGGCCCTTTGATATGGGCTGTTAGGTCCCTGTATGACCGGTGTCAGAGCCTGGTCCGCATTGCCAGCAGTAAGTCGGGCTTGTTCCCGGTGACAGTTGAACTCCGCCAAGGTTGCCCTTTGTCACCGATCCTGTTCATAACTTTTATGGACAGAATTTCTAGGCGCAGCCAAGTTGTTGAGGGGATCCGTTTTGGTGGCCTTAGGATTGCATCTCTGCTTTTTGCAGATTATGTGGTCCTGTTGACTTCATCAGATCGTGATCTACAGCTTTTGCCAGAGCGGTTCGCAGCCGAGTGCGACACGGCTGGTATGAAGATCGGTTCCTCCAAATCCGAGGCCATGGTCTTGAGCCGGAAAAGGGTAGAGTGCCCTCTCCATGTCAGGGAGGAGGTCCTGCCCCAAGTGGAGGAGTTCAAGTATCTTGGGGTCTTGTTCACGAATGAGGGTAAAATGGAACGTGAGATCGATAGGCAGATAGGTGCAGCGTCTGCAGTGAAGCGGGCGCTATACAGGTCTGTTGTGGTGAAGAGAGATCTGAGTCAAAAGGCAAAGCTCTCAATTTACCGATCAATCTACGTTCCTACCCTCATCTATTGTCATGAGATTTGGGTTGTGACCGAAAGAACGAGATCTTGGATACAAGCGGCCAAAATGAGTTTTCTCTGCAGGGTGTCTGGGCTCTCCCTTTGAGATAGGGTGAGAAGCTGGATCATCAAGGAGGGACTCAGAGTAAAGCTTCTTCTTCTCCACGTCAAGAGGAGCCAGTTAAGGTGGCTCGGGCATCTGTATAGGATGCCACCTAGACGCCTCCCTGGTGAGGTGTTCCGGACACGTCCCACCAGGAGGAGACCCAGAGGAAGACCCAGGACACGTTGGAGGGACTATGTTTCTCGGCTGGCCTTGGAACGCCTCGGGATTCCCCCGGAGGAGCTCGACCAAGTGACTGGGGAGAGAGAAGTCTGGGCCTCCCTACTTAGGATGCTACCCCCGCGACCCGACCCCAGATAAGTGGAAGAAAATGGATGGATGGAGTGCACAGACAGGGAATACCCACAAGATGGCACCATCCTTACACACAGAAGTTGTCTCATGGCACTGAACAGAAATATTCATATATAAAAATTATAATTTAATATTATTCATCTGAGGAGCAGACTGCTTTGAGTAACTCATCGCAGAACTTTCATTAGCGGGACTTGGATTCTGGACACGCCTCCAGAATCAGTCCTAACGTGCAGGTGCAAATCCAGGCTGAACTGAGACAGGCTGAGCTGAGCCAGGCTGAGAAGGGGTGTGCAGGGCTGAGCAGAGTTGGGGATGATTAGGAGCAGTGCAAATGGGACATATGGAATATGTTTTTCAAAATAGGAAGGAAAAAAATAAAATAAAATTTCCTTAGCTGTTTGAGTTCAATAAAGTGATAAATCGATGATTTGAAAAAAGCCAAATATTAAGACTCGGTTAAGATACAGAATTAACGACACATCTTATGAGCAGCTGATCCTGTAGATCAGGAAGTGAGCAGCTCACCACTACTGTTAGTTCTGTCCGATGTGTCTAGTGGTAGAAATCCTTGGCTTCCTTCAGGGATGAGAACTGCTGTGTCTTCCTATTGTAGAGGATCCTCATCTTACATGGATTATACTGAAATCTGTGGAACATTCTTTTTTCTGCAAACGCTTTTCTGATGATATTGAACTCTGTTCGTTGTCGGATGGTCTCAGCTGAGAGATCCTGGGTGAAAAGGAGTTTGTTTCCATTGTGCTTGATGTTACGTTGTTTTGTGCATTTGAAAACAAACTCCCACTTGGAAATTCAGGAATCTGATAAGTGTTGTGGTTTGAATACCACGTCGTGTTCAAAACGGCGGAGGCGTCGCCCTTCGTATAAAAGATTTATTTGACACAACATGGGTTACAGATATTCAGAGACAAACAATTACATTAATAAGATATATGCATATAAATGGAGCATTAAGAACGAACCGCCTCGTGTGCGCCTCCCGGAAAATGCTCGGTGGGCGTGCGTCATTTCCGGCCTTTTATCCCCGTTTGAGAAGGCTAGCTTCCTGATTGGTTCAGCTTCTGTCGCTATGGTTACGACTTAGCCCGCCCCCTCAAGGACGTTGACGTCTATATTTCAGATAAGTTTTGGTACACCGAAATCGGCTTTTGTTTAAAGTTTAACTTGCTATTATACTTTAGGGATATAAAATGATTCGTGTCTAAATTGTTTATATGTAATAATTAATAACTATTAATTATTACCTACCTCCTGGGTGTTAATTCAATATCTGTTGGAGGCCTGGTGATTGTTTTTAAGGCAGAATTATCTTAGTTTCTGTGTCTGCGTTTAAACTGTGAACACTGTTTGTTTAACATGATTATACCTTAGTGATAACACTGATTTGAAATAGTTGTTTATTTCTAGTAATAATTGTATTATCTAACTTATGTTCGTGTTTTTATTTGGATCATGGTAATACTCAATTTGATTTTACTTAGTCAAACTATATTGTCTAAATTAAAGAGCTGTGTTCTACTTTATTTATGTTACTCAGTGTGCTCTCTGGCCTGATTTGATTGCTTGTAATTTATCAAATGTGAACTTGTAAAATTATCTTTAGCTACTATGAGATTATATTTAAAGGTCAACTAGTTAGAATTAGCAAACAT